ATAGATCTTTGTTTTAATTGGAAACTGACAGCCTACAAATTTTCACAAAAACAATAATGTGCCTAATATGCTTTGGAACTTTGTAAGATGAATTTCTGAGTTAAAGATTAGAAATTACTGGGAAAAAAACGTGGGTACAATTTCTAATTTCATGTAATCTTAACAGCATACATTTCTCTCACCTCAATAACACATTTTACTTGACTATACTTTGATTTACTACTTTCAAAACTAGTTGTATGACAATGAATTAGAAAAAAAAAGCTGTGAAATTAATGTCTGTTTTCCTGTTTAGTATATTCTGTGATTCCTGTTTAACATGCAATTTCAATATTGGACTGTGAGTCACTCTGAAAGAGTAGCTTTCAAACCTTCCACATGCACGTTCCCTCTTTCAGTGACAAATACTTGTTTTGTTCTGCTGATGCTGACACACCCTCTGTCAACCCATTTGTCTGTTAAAGCTAATACGTATAAGGACATGCTCCTGTTTAACGACAAAACATGCGTCAGGTACACTATTCAAGTGAAACTGAAGCAAGGATTTTGTGTGCCATGGTAATGTGATCACCTTGGCAAACATTTCTTCATTTATAGAAAATATATTTTATTTAGTTTTATTTGCACAAATAATCCTGCTGAGGGTTAAATAATAACAATAATATTAAATAATATATTAAGTATATGACTAGTATTAAAGTATACGCATTAGTATTATTCACAGAAATGCACCATTATTTAAAGTTTTCTAAATAAATCACTCAAGCCTGAAAGACACTTCACTCAAGGATAAACTAGGGTTGTGTTTACACATAACAATAAACCAAATGTTTAAATTGGCACTTTGCTACTAGCTGCCCATCATAAAAACATATCATTGGTTCCCATTTCTTTCTTGAATTAGAAAAAACTAGAATATAAATATGCTGTTTGACAAGCATAAAATTGTATTTTGACACCAAGGTGATTCCCAAAACACTATTAGCTCATAAACCTAGCCTAGCACAGTGTGTCACATGTCCTCAAAAAAACTGAGGAAACTGAGCAAGTGGAGGACAAAAGAAGAAGTGGCAACATGAGAAGCTTGAGAAAAACCAAGGACAACACTACCATATTCAGAACAATAGGTAGGATTTTAAATCCCAACCAAGGGCATGCATCCAGTAAGGCCCCAGGCCTACCTCAAAATATGATTAACAGACACATAACTGAAGCCATGCTGCCCTTTGCCCATAAGCTGAGGAACCAGGGCACACTGATGAGAAGTGGGCTACTGGAATAATCTATAAGTGGACAAGGCATGAGAATAGGGAATTGTTGAAGTGCTACTACGCATCTAACCCCAGCAAAAGGTGATACGTGAAAGAGATATGGAACCTATGGATTTTTTGACACCCAACATCTACACTAACATTGAAACGACTAGTACCTCAGTGTTCGAACATTCGGAATAAGCAAGTGCTGTCACAACTAGAGATTCTCCAGGTACAACACAAATTTTACGGCAGGGCAGAGGTATAATCATCCTCACACTCTGAGATTGGGTACCAAGCCCTAAAGAACAACTGGCGGTCCCTTTTAACAGCAAGAAACCTCCAGCAGAATCAGGCTCAGGGAGGGGCGGCTATCTGCTGCGACTGGTTTAAGGTGAGGGGAGAGAGACAGTAACACAGAGAATGAAAAATGTGAGTGAACGAGAAACAGTCAGTGCATCATGGCTGTAACAGCCCAAACTTATTGTAGTGTAACCAATGCAGGATTCAGGTTATCGTATATGCTTGCTCAAAAAGGACTGGTATATGAAGAGAAGGATTTTAAATTTGATCCTGGATTTAACAGGGAGCTAATGAATAGAAGCCAACATGAAATATGCTCTCTCTTTCTAGTCCCTGTCAGTACTTTTGCTGCAGCATTTTGTATCCACTGAAGGCTTTTCAGGGAGTTTTAGGACAGTCTGATAATAATGAATTACAATAGCCCAGCCTAAAAGTAATTAATGCATGAACTAGCTTTCAACATCACTCTGAGACAGGATATTTCTAAATTTAGAGATATTGCACAAATGCAAGAAAGCAGTCCTACATATCTGTTCAATACACGAGCAGGTCTTGGCCGAAACACCAGAGGGTCAAAACACCAGCTGCTGGTATATATCCAACCGTCATCGGGGTAAAAGCACATTAAAGAACTTAAAACCGCAATCCTTTTCATCTTTGTGCAAATTCCTTTAGTCTTCATCTGATTAGTTTGATTTTAACTTGCACAAATAATGCATTTTAGATGTGACTTTGTGGCAAACACAATCTTAGAATAACTGTTGATGTTGTAGCTATCATATTGCAATATAAAAACCCCTCAGTCATTACCACCCGACAAACACACAAGACAGAATAAGCAGACATGAGACAGACACACCTTGCACTAGATCCTCTATTCTGGATCTAGTTACAGGATACACGCGCACACACACTCACATACACAAATACACACAAAGACAATGACAGAAAATGCATTATATTTGGTGTCCTAAGCCTGGACAACAAACCCATTGCATGTCCAGGGACTCAGGACTCCCCCAATGCTGTGAACTGTAACCTCGAGGTAACCTCGAACTGCACCTATATATAGTAAACTTAGCCTGTTTTTTAATTTACACGTTTGCTCTACTAAGCTTCATAGGATTTATTCTATAGCTGTCAAATGAACTATACCCTCAAACATCATTGAATGCATTACAAACATGTTTTAATCAAAACTGGATGTTAAGATCTAATAACTAGATATGTAGTAAACACTGTGTTCCTGAAAATGTCTGAAGCATTTTAATATCTTTCAGCTCTTTTAGTTGGCTTACTTTCCGTTTGGTTAATGGTCCAAACATCTAAAACTTTTCAGCTGTGTCAAGTTCTTACAAAATGTCCACTGAATGCTACTTGAAACAAAATTAGCAAGAAAGAAAGAAAGAAAGAAAGGAAACAAATTAAAACTACAGTAAAGATGCAAAACACAAAGGCACACACATATACACATTGTAACCCATTCACCTAGCAATTTTGTGCACAAGCTCTAATTTCAAGCCATTAAAAGATAGTTAGTCTCCATTTAAATTAAGGGGAAACTCTTTGAAAACATGAGATAGACACCAAATAATTATTCCAGCACATCATAAGGTAACACAAAGTTTGCGTTTCCCAAACTGAATCTGTGATCATGATAATTCTAGATCCTCCACTATGAATCTATTTTTTTCTTTTAATAACACTGATAGGACATTAAATCTGTGTGTGCATATTCTAGCATTTAACTACTTACTGTGTGAAATCCCCACCACTATCACCTCTTCTACTTCTTCCTCCTTAGACAATAGTCCACCTGGGGCACAAAGAGAACTGGGTGAGAACGTCTCAGTTTTTCCATGTGATAACAATCAGGTCTACATTTTTACAGTTTTTTCAGTCTGCAGTCCAGTATCATTTATATCTACACAATGATGGTCCGTGTTGAGTGGTCTGCAGTGGAGTTAATACATTATCTTCACCTCTATAGTTAGCAAAATGAGCTCGATATGGCACAGATAAGATTTTTCTTTCCTGTTGACCACAATTTGAAAAACGGAGCATCTGACAATACACCACTGCTTTCAAATAAAGTCACATTTTACTCTCTTTTTAAACAAACTCTTAATACCATGAGATTTGATAGTGATGATTTGCAGCCATTCAGAGCCAGCCTCTACTAATCGGTGTATTCAGTCTATTGGTGTCTCTGACACTGCTCCCCCAGCTGAGTATCCTCAACTTGCCACAATTGAGTGATGGATAATTTTAATCACTGCGCTGCAGACTTGAAAAGATCCAAAAGAATCCTTTTCGTATAAAGCCTCTGTGTTGGTTTTCTAGTTTAGCCAGTTGTCCGTGTGGACATCCCAATACTTTTACTCCTCCGCCACATCAAAATCCTGTCCCAGCACAGCTACAGGTCGTGTAGCCATCTTCTTCCATCTGAAGTCAATCATCATCTCTTTGGTTTTACTCCCATTCAGAAGCATATGATTTATCCCAGACCATTAGTCCCCTGTATTCCTCCTCCTGCTCATCACTTATATATCCAATCACTGAAGAATCATCAAAGTATTTCTGTAGGTAGCATGAATCAGAGCTGTATTTAGAAGTATGAGGTTACAAGGTGATAAGGAATGGAGATGGCACAGACCCCCCTCTACTGCCCACATACTGCCTTATATACCTGTCCACCACCACGTTTACTGACATTGCCTGTAGTTTCTCTCTCAGTAGCAGCATTTACCAATGTCTAGAATTTCTGTTATTATGAAACCATCATAAAACAAGAAGAAACATTTGAGCAAACGCAGAAGCTAGATCATTTTTGGCTCACACCCCTGTCAAGCAATTTTCATATATGGAAAAAAGTAGTATATAGCAGCTAGTGACAATTAATTAACACATACAAAGTGTCCACAATAGTTCAATATTGTTTCTCCCCCTGGTACTGTCCTCTTTTCTCTTTGAAGCTAGTGGAATTCTACACAGGTGACCTCATCACACAGCGAGCACTGGAACGATACTGTACAAACTGGGAATAGAAGCTGGCAAGGCACAGTGGGCGAGTTTAGCAGTGGTTAGTACTTTGCTGTTGTGTTGTGTGTAGATATTTAAGAAAATCACTTTCCCAAGTGCAATATAATATTTTAATAGATAATTTCTTGACTAATCTCAAATAACATTGTCTCACCAACCCTGGAAATTTACTCAAACGCATGTTAGATGATCAGACCCATGCTGACTAACTGTATGATACGAGGTTTCGGAAACACCATTAAATGCCACTCTGGATTCTGTTTTCTTTACAGTGTAGCCTCACTACCTCTCTATAGGTACATAGTAAAAGTATTTTCTGTTTAATCTGTAAGACTTAAATTTCATTAATAATTATTTTATTTTATTATTTTACCGTCTAGATACCATGGGAAAAGCACATCTTGCTCATTGCTACTGTCAATCAAGGGATAATCTAAAACCTGTAAATATAATTCAGGACCAAACGCTTCTCTGTCCCTTCTGGGCTTCACAAAGAGTTTCTTTTCCCTTTGTTTGACACAGCCCTGGGATATCTTACTACTAGTTTTGTTTTGTTTTTTCCAAAGCTTATCAACGCTCCGGTCATCAGGGACAGCATACAGCAACCGCAGCAACTGCACTGGAATGTGGAAATACAGGATGTGGAATATGAGTCGCCTGCAAACAGTACACCAACAAAAGGCTTGGTATGTTTATACACATTCAGAAAGACCACTTTAGGTATTGGGCTGGGGACTTGGAATATCACTTTGGGGGGGATAAAGGCTTTATAGTCAGTGTTCAGTTAAACAAGACTGAAGTTCAAACAGAAGGTTAAATGTGTGTTAGTTTCAAGGTTAAGATCATGTTAGACGATGAGGGGATGTAATAGGAATTACTAACATGCTGATAGGTGTTTGCACTCTTTGTCATTTTGGAAATATTCTTACTGGCTTTGTTGCTTTTCTTGAGTAGCATGACCTGGCTGATATATTCATGTCTTTAGGGTACAATTAAATTACTGTAGTCAGTTGTCAAATACACATGGGGAAATAAAATATGCCCTTAAGCATCTCTACTCACCAATTAACAGGCTACATCTTATTCCTTTCTTTTTTATTCAGAATGTGTTGGGGGATATATGTGAAGAGTTTAAAGAAACATTTTCTAACATCTTCATATTACAAAACCAACAGTGTAAATAATATGGATTTTTTTTAAAGGTCTTATCTCATAAATTAAATTACAGAAGCCTTAAATGCCTTTCAAACAACTTTTTCAGATTTTATTCCCAAAGAAATATGTTTAGTGTGACAATATACAATTTATCATAAAAAAAGTATGTTGAATTGCTGTAATAAATGTTGCTTTGGACGTGAAGCCGTAACCGACAGCACCCAAACTGACCCAACCTCCCAGTGCTCCTTAGCTTTTATACCAGGCTATAAAAAGAACACAGCGGGCCAATTATTAACTTCTGTAACCCTACACTACAGACCCTCCCAAACAAGCACATACACACAATGATGTTGAAATAATGGGTGGGGCTCAGTACCCAGTGAGATGACAGGGCTGAAAAAGCACCTTTGTGGATGTAAATAAGTGATACGAACACAATTTTTATCATAAAATTTAAATTAAAACATGCCAATAATTTTTTTATCTTTAAGAGGAAGGACGTTGATTCTGTGATTAAATACAAAATAAATAAAATATTTTATTTCACAGCTACACAGACTACGATCAGTGCCTTTGGTAAACATAAGCTTCGCAAAGACGTGTATGCTCAGTAGTTTAGCAGAAGCAGAAAGGAAGTAAAGCGTGTTGGACATGTGAGTTTTGTCTTGTTTTCAACAAATTCAGTGAAAAACCAATGAAGAATCGCCCTATCTTGTCACATGTTTTATCTTAAGTGTATCTAAAATATGACATATTATATATCATCTGTGCCATGGACCAAAACTAAAACTATAATAACTACATGAAAGACTAACTAGGTTATAGTATGTGATATATTGTAATGAAAAACAGCTACTAAAGAGGAAGCCCGGTCTTTCATTCAAATTTTAACCACTGCTGGTTTTGGTCTTCTTCATTAAAATTTACTAAAAAGAATAAACATATAGAATATTGTGAGTTTTAACCTTTAATTATTTTCAAAATATACGTGAAAATTAGGATAATTAACTTCAACCAAATAGCACCTTCAGCCAGAGGGAGATGACGTTATTGTCACCACGCCACACGGAGAAGGTCAAAAGTCAACTCGGTAACATCAAAAGCGAGATGCGTGTGAGCGCCATCAACAAAGACCTCAGGAACTCCTGACTGGCCGGTGTTGTTGCGTTGGTTTTTCAGCGTTTCCAGCATTGCGTAGATGACTCTTGCGCGTTGTTCCTCAGAGAGCAGGTCCGCCCAACGATAACAGGGCAGCGATGGAGAGTGGAGCAGGAAATACACAGATGACATGTAGACTTTAACAAACTCCAGTTTTAGATAGGAGAGGTCCCTCTGTAAACACACAGGGAGAAAGCTTTAGTTCATATTCACATCTCAGTGTAAGCCACCCAATCTATTATACTGACAGCATCCTCTACAGGTCTGAGCTGATATTACGCATCCAAAGATGCAGACTGTTACTGTAATAATGTGTAATGTATTAATGTGTATGCGATAGTCCCCGTAGGGAAATTGCTCCTCTGCATTTAACCCATTCACCCAGTGAAGCAGTGGGCAGCCACCAATGCAGCGCCCAGGGAGCAGTGTGTAGGGACGGTACCTCAGGGTAACCGTTCAGTGGAGTCGAACCCCCCGACCTTCCGATCATGGGGCCACCACTCTACCTACTGAGCTATCCCTAAACTCAGTAGCTATCCCTACTGAGTTTAATTAATTAAACCAGGCAATCAATACTTCTTCAAAGCTACCTTTTACCTAACCAAAACATCCTATTTCCTCTTTGTTCCCAAAAAGAAAGCAGATCCCCAACATATCACTTTGTAATGGGATCTGTGTCCCAAAACCCTGTTTCCAAAAGAGTTGTAATTATGCATAAAATGTAAATAAATCCAGAATGTCTGGCCTGCAAATCATACAATCCCTTATATTTGATTAAACATGACAAAAAGACATATTAAAAACCTGGAAGGAAAAAATAATTAAAATTTTTACGTTTCAAAATAGTTGGTACAGGCCCGATTAATATATTTACAGGTTTGCATATGCTTCCATCCAGACACAGGGGACGCTAGACCACCGAGACAACTACACTTAAACTCAAACTCAGCAGTTTTTCAGTCGTTTCATAATGACTGCCATTATACTATTTAGGCAAATATGTAGTTCAAATAATTTGCATTCCATTTTTTATATTTGCACCGGGCCAAAATGTGTTTGGACACAGAGTTGTATAATTACACACCTACACGCACGCACCTTTTGTGCTCTGTTCATGTTAGTCTCAGCATCCAGCCAGGCACTCTGGAAGAAACACAGTTATTTGAATATTCAGTTGTCCTTACCATCAAACAAATGTGATGGGTCATACCACTTAACAAGCTTTAAACTCTCTCTATATATAATCACACATTATTTTTACTTTGAGAATATTAAAAATAATCTCACAGAAATCATCTTCAACAAGCAGAATTTCAGCTGTGTTGATAAAGCAACAAAACAAAGGAGCAGTTGTTGAATCTTATTTGAATGACAAATGTGACTTTTCTCACCCTGAGAGCATCTAACAGGTCTGGCTGGTCCAACAACACAGGGAAGGTTGAAAGTATAGGACTGCATATTAGATCTGAAAGAGAGATAATGGTATTAAAGCTGTGAATGTGATCGGTTTGGATAAGAACCACTGACAGTGTGAGCTACCTGCATTCTGCATTGTGGGCCTGTCCATCAGCAGTGCGTCTGCAAGCAGATGCCTGTGCAGAACCAGCAGATGGATGCAGTTTAGGCAGTGGAGGAGAGTATCTGGAAGGACACTGAAGAGAAAAAATGTACTTATCACAAACATATACATGCACGCACATACATACACACAGGGATATATCTGAGATGAGTCAGGAATGAGTCCAAATAAACAGAGGAAGGCTTTATGGATAAGATATTCTACTGCAGGTGTTCAAGCACAGTGGCAGTCTTTTTTTCACTGATCTTCTAACCTGAGCTGTGTTTGCGTCCGGCTGTTGGCTGATTTCAGCTTAACAACAAGTTTGGGCTGCCGCCTGGCTTGGAGCATCTGCTGGAAAACACCACTTGGAGCTGAGAGGAGAGGAGATACACTGATTAATATAACATAAAAACTATTATTTTGTTTCTATTGTTTTTTCCTTATATTATTTTAAGATCAAAATGTACTGAGTCTGCCATTTCTCCTTACATCCTCTAGTGGGTGACGCCTCCACTGCTACATCCTTCTCATATGGAGTGCCACCATTCACAGGCAGTTCATAGGTCCTGTACACAGTAGATAATTCAATTTTGTGCGCGCTTAATAATGTCAGTGGTTTTGTGCTAGGTGTCATTTTACTTTGTTAATCTTTTCACTACTGTAGGTGTCTAAAGAAAAGATATTCTGATATATTTTCGCAGCTTTTTCTGCATATGTCTGGATGACTGTAAAAAAACACATGTACCTGTTCGGCACAGGATTTCCTGCATCATCGGTCAATTTGAGGAAAGCCCAACCACAGCTTAGGTCTCCTCTCTCCCCAGTAGACTAAAACAGAGACACTTTTTCTTTTCTTTCCTTATATACATTTTTGTAATTCGCAAAATTGCATGCACCCTTACATTTCGTATAAAAGTGACTCCTAATTCAAAGAGGATCCCGAGGTTAGGAGACGCAGAGTTGCAGCGCATAAAACAGTCTCCATCCAAGAGGGTGGGCAAGATACCGGTCACCTTGAACAGACACACACATGAACACATGCTAAATTTCACATTTCTCACAATTTCTTTTTTTGTCTTCTTTTGCAGAGCCTCAGTACAAAGAGTCTGCAAATCAGTTTGTGTTGTAAGGTTACAAACATAGCAACCTCCACATACCCTTGGAGAGAAGCTCCAGGTCTTTGGGCTCTTGGCGTTGTAGGCTGCCCTTATTATGTGGATGTTACTCAAAACCTGAAACACAGTAAAACTCATGTTGAAAAAAGCAAGAGAGCAAGGGAATTAGATACAAAGAGTTAAATCTGAAAAAAACCCTGCATAAAAATCTTCCTGTTTTATGGCAGAAACGTGTTCTTTGTTGTCTGAGTTGAGCTGAAATGTGACTGTTTCATAAGCTTACACACTTAAAGAGACCAATACATGATTCCTGCCACTAAAGTAATCAAGGATATGAATTACTACATCCACACTAGCCCGGTTAAATTTGAAAACGGCATTTTGGTCTGAAAACGCTCCGCGTCACACTATCGTTTTCAGTTGTTTTCACAGAGTTGTTGATCCATGGCCGAAAACGATTACGTTCCAGTCCTGCGCATGCATGAAACGCAAGACGATTCGACCTGCCTCATTTCTGTCTGCTGCTTATTTACTTTCCGGCTCTCTGAAATGTTGCGACAAAATGTTGAGGAAAAGCACCAAGTTTTTTAAATGGACTAACAATGAGGTGAGTTGTTGCTGCGAGTAACACAAAAGTACAAAGTTGCAAAGCAAGTGAGAATTAAAGAATTTGAAGAAAAGCTATCTGGAGCATGTGCAAACTGATCTTTAATAGGGCTGTCAAAATTGAGAACAAACAAAACAACTGCTGTATAATGCCCTCCGCTATCATAGTTTAATTGGTCACATGACTGCATCACATGACAAAATGTATCATCAACTTCGAAAAAGTTCCGGGTTCGCTGTTCACACTGCTACGCAAAAACGGCGTTTTCGAATGTATCCGCTTTGAAAAGCGTTTTCAGAACGCTGCGCTTTCCTTGACCTTGGCCGTTTTGGTCTTCGGTCTCAGTGTGGACGGAAGGCCAAAACGGAGAGACAACGATGCCCTAGCCGTAATGTTTGACACCTGTTTTACCTAATACACCAAAAGTATTAATAAAATTCATTATACTCTGAAGACATTTGGAGAAATTAAAGAGGTGCAGTAAAACATTACAGTACAAAAGAACGTAATAATGATCGCTCCAACCAAGGAAGAATGGAAGCAAATGTTCCCCTGATTCTGTTTGTAATAACAACAGTGGTATAAGCTTTCTGCACAAGCAAATATGCTAAGCCATAAATTCTAGATGTGCAGATAAGGTTGAAATAGCTCTTTTTGCAGACGACTGTACACCACTTTATACAGCACATTTTAGTCTATTTAGAGTGACGCAAAAAAGAAAAAACTTCATATAATGAAGCGTTCAGGATCTTTCTCAGTTCTCTAAATGTTTGTGACTTAGTACCTTTCTTGGTGTGTGGCATAAATTTATGTTGTAAATATCTCATAATGGTTTTAAATGATTTCTTTTTCATTTTTTGTCATGGACTAGTGTCTAAAATAAAAGTATACAGAGGCAACCATGATACCTGAGTTCCGTCAAAGGCGCAGAGGCGGACGTGCCGCCTGAGGACTTGAACACCAACCCCAGGAGTAGGAATCATCCTGCAGCTCCACAAACTGAAACAAACACTCGTGCTGACCTGCCGAGGACGAACCTACACCACAGGAGAATCACACAGTAGGCAGGTTTATGACTATAGTTGCTGGTAAGTGTCAGAAACACAGGGACAAGCTCACCTTGCCAGTGTCTGGGTCCAGGAAGAGGTCTTTAAAGGAGAGCTGTGATTGGCTGAGCTGAGGCTGAATGTAATGACTTCCTCTGTATGTTACACCTAATAAAGGACACAAAGGGTTACAGCTTTGCCCTGAAAGTCATGTAGCATTGGCTTGTTAGATAAATATTACTATTTACAGTGACAGCTGCTTCTATCAATACGGTAACAATAGGGTAAAAATTGTGCATCTAACTCACCATTCAATCTACTGTACCAAAACAACTACAGTAATAAAAATAACATCCAGTATAACTCACCCAGTATAAACTCTTAATTGTTGAAGCCTGTGCAGTTATGAACTTGAATAATTTAAAATGTCTTTTAAGCCAGCTCCTTTATCTCACAGTGTAAGCTGTTCAAGCTGTTTTAAGTTTTGAGTGTCATCTTAGTTTAAAGCCAAATTTCCATTAAGATGCAACAATTTGTAGAATTGTTGATTTTTCCAAATATAAATGTGACACATCCTGTGATTTCTGCTTCACTGATGCAAGGATTTGTTACTACCTTGGAATACATTACTTAGAATTGGGGAAATGTAATCCACATATTTTGCTGCTTTATAGAAAAATTATACATTGACAAAGTAATTGGCAGAAGTTGAGTAACTGGCAATGAAAACAGTTTTCCCCTAGCCTTATAACAGCCACTTAACCTGTAGGATGATGTCAGGCAGCACTAAGGGAGGCAGGTCTGTTCACCACCAGTGGACTAGCAAGCTCTAGGATTTACTGAATTCTGCCAGTGCTTCCAAAACTGCACAGATCCCCCATTGTGGGCAGAGTTTACTTCATATTAATTTGTGAGTTTATCCAGTCTCTCTCTCTCTCTCTCTCTCTCTCTCTCTCTCTCTCTCTCACTCACACACACACACACACACATGCTGCATAATGACCTTCCTCCACCAGTAATTTATTGAGAGTTGATGGTCTGAATCCTGAAGGTATAGCACCCATGGCGGAGAGCACATCTGTTGCATCAATCTGTCACAGACACACGATAAAACCATAAAACGTATTTAACACAGCGCTAAAGATTGTGAATGCAGTATTTGTTGTTGGGAAAATTAATAGCAGTTTCAGTTCTTGTAGTTATAACTGTAGAGTATAGAAAGTCGCACCTCACTCAGAGCCTTTTTGACTGTAGACCAGTTAGAATGTGAAGCACTGTCAACAAAAACAAAAGAAACCAAGAATAATTATGTTATTCATTCACACCAGTAAGTAATATTTTTATGTTGCCATTAATCTGGATAAATGTAGTTTTCAAAATTATCTTCCTTTTAAACAAAGTCTCTCAAGTGTAGGGAAACACAGACCCTGGAAGCTTAATGCCATTAAATAAAAATTAAATAAAAAACTTTCAACCTCCATTTGTCTGGATCATCAGTTAATTCTTCACTATCTTGATTTTCCTCCTCTTCCGACTCCTCCTTGTCATCATCATCTTCTTTTGAATCATTGTCATCATCATCATCATCATCTTCCTCATCAACACTAGAGCCAATCTAACACATTATGGTTACATTTAAAATATAATCAGAAATCATATCCTGTTATGGTCTTGATCTTTTTTGTCAGTCTATACTAATATTAAAAACACAATGAATAAAGAAAACTGCTGCAGGCTGCATTTTAATGTTCTCAGTAATGTTTTATAATTCCTTCAGCTAAACACTTGTCTAAATGAAAATTCATAATGTTGGACTTGCTATCATTGCAGATTTTGTACCTTCAGGAAGGTTTTTGGAACCACTCCTCTGCTGCCTTTAGTGTTCTGAGCCAGCCACCATCCATCTGCTGCCTTCCTGATAATCCTCAACACCTCCCCCTTCTGAAACAACAGGCCACAGAACACCATGTAAGTTCACATAACTCACACATTTATAACAAACAGATGAGATCAAATGCAGTTCATCACAGACATGTCTAAAATTCAGATGTGAGGATAAACCTATCTTCCTAATCGGTTAAGTACTTGATTAAAAATTAACCGGCAATGGAATAAGATTCATTAACACAAAGGGATATCAAATTGGATAAGTGGAGATGGATGGATGGATGGATGGATGGATGGATGGATGGATATAACGATTAATAAAGCTTATAAATTACACTACAGTGCACTAGACTGCATGCCAATATCTACCAGACACATCATAGAAATGTTTAAAATTAAAAAGGTAAATAGTTTTCAGAAATATGTAAATTACATTTGTTACTTAATTCAGGCCTGCAAGACTTGAAGAAGAAGATTTGGATGGCTAGAGCGCCCTCTTCTGTTGAAACTAAATATTATACAATATCGCTTTTAACATGCAAGGGGAAAGAATCCAAGCTCTAAACGTCCTAAATATATTGCTGACATCAAGGCTGTTTGTGTTTTACCCGAACAGACAGATCTCCTTCCTGCTCTCCTTTGAAATCACTGAGGACCATGTAGATGCGAGCATCTGACTGAGATGGCGGTTTCAAATCTCGCCTCTCATCACGGACAATGTTGTTATCATTTTCTACATGCTCTTCTTCATTGTCGTTACTGTCTTCGTCATCGTCTTCTTCAGCACTATTTTCACTATCTTCCTTTGAAACATTACTGTGGACCAGGGAATAATTCAGTGAAAAAAGGTATTCTTGGGTCAGATTTGTCAATCAATTGTCATTGAATCTGTCAGATAAACTGATGCTTTGCAATGAAGCATGCAGGTTAAATTGTTGTGGGGAAGTCAAGCCCCCTGCAGCAAGGACTATAAAGTACATACACAGATCAACAACAAAAAAAACTCTACCGTCCCAGTTTTCCTTCTTTGCAATTAGCACACATTTCACTAACCCTGCTTCAGTGCTAGGTCCTGGTGGCGACAGCTCCAGAGAGAGAGTTTTTAGACGCTCCACGATGTTTTGCACTCGTCGCTCCTCTTCCTGTTTCCTCTGATCATAATTGCCCACTGGAGCCAGCTCATCACCCTGAAAGATCAAGCATTAGCTTATGATGACTAATTAGCTACACTGCTGTCAACCATGCAACATTTTCCACAAAGATAAATTAATATATCGATTTGGTGCTGTAAGTAATGACAACTGCCTTAATAAAAACAACTAATATTAGTCAAGTAATATCACTGATTGCTTCCAATTGTTGGCATCGAAAGATTATATTAAATCTGTGTCCGATAATAGTATTTGAAAAGGTTGAAAAGTTTCTTAAAGATTAGAAAACTAACCTTGCTCAGTTTCTTCAGTGTCCTTAGTGTCTCCTCTGCTGACATTTGCAGTTTTTGGCATCTGTTTGCAAGTAGATATCAAGCATTCCATAAAGTAGGTGATCAGGGCATGTGGTAGAGAGGGTCATCATGCTGAAATATCCTTGGGCAGACTGATAGCGAACTCACTGATGTACCCATTGCAGTCTGAGCACGTGTGTAATTGTTAGAAAATGCTTATAGATACAATCCTGTATGGATTTGTGCGTGACTGGGTGAGTGACACTTTTAGCAGAAAACCCTTTGAGTGCTCAACTGAGTAGAAAGGCGCTATATAACTACACACAAGGATTTCAATGTTAAAACAGGTGAGGGTGCTCATCTTAAGAGTAAGGAAGGGCACTGCTGGTGCTCTACCACAGTTGGTTACCTTCGAAAGGCCTCTTCAGTGGATCCAGCCTGGCTCTGGACATCCTTCTCCAGACTGTCAACCTGTGAAAGTGTTTAAATCAATGTACAGTTCAGCGTTTACATTGATGATTATGTCGGTTTTTATTCTGGTTTACATTGCTAACTCACAGCAGTGCATCATAATGAATTGTTACGAACAGATGCTAATCAATATTTATGCTAGCGCATGCCACGTCGGTAAAGGGCTTATAAGACAAAAGTGTTTAGAGAAACAGTCGAGTTCAAGCCTCGGGATCACATCATTTCGAAAAAGCTCTGGTGGTACATGTGCAACAACTGTATAACGTTCAGTCCGAACAGTTTGGTGCAGTCGCACCTAAGTTTAAAGCGTCGTTCTTGAACTGACCTGTTTTTCTATTTCATCCACTTCTCTCTGGGCTAGCTGCAAAGGTCCTCTTCTTTTTAGTGGCATTTATACACTTTTTAGGGTCACACGGTACGTGTGTTAGCTGATCTTCTAGCTTGCTAACTGACGCTGGGCTTCCAACAGTTGCTAAGCAACTGACTTCTTCTTCTTCTGTATAAGGTTTATTGGCGGTTGGCAAACGGCAAAATGGTGCATTACCGCCACCAACTGGTGTGGAGTGTGGACCGAAAAAGCAACTGACTTCTTCTTCGATTTTTTTTAATTGTCAATGTAATTTCCGTGCTCATTGTGGGTTTGTTTTAGTCAGCATATTTCGCTTATGTAATATATTTTTATATATTCGTAAATGAATGAACGCGATATTAATACAAAGACTATGTTTTCTGGGGTTTTTTTGCAATTATTGGCAGTTTACAAGCTTACATCAAGCTACCGCCGCCTACTGATCTGGATATTTTCTCACGATTCCTTGAAAAATTACTGACGTTACTGCGACTTCATAATGTTGGAGTTGTTTGTGTTTAATGCGCATTTAATTCAGATTCAGTGCCATAAGCGTAAAAATTGATCGGTCTAAAGCCAGATTTTGGATCAAAAGGCAAAACTACCATTATTGATTGTAATCATATATGAATCCAAATACCCTCCAAATTATGATGTAATGCATTTCCATTTCCTCTAATACTAGTTTTTAAATCCTAGATGTTTGATGCTTTTACAGGTTTTATGTCCAAAAAAGATAACATAAAATATTACTGATATTTTTACTTCTCTTCCAAATCGAGCGTGAATTCCCCCCCAATAATCCTCAGCTTTTGACTGATCGAACCCATCCAGCACCACATCTACAACTTGGTCAATACGCCCTGTAAAATTATATCACTCTTTCAAAGGACACTTGCAATGCACAGTTGTGTAAGTGCTTTCAGAAAGACCTATAGGGGGCGTGCGTTACGTCCTTTGCCTTTCGTGTTACCTTCACTGTCACTTTTCTTTTCCCCAAATTTCAAATGTATAATTTCAAAACATACCACCACTGTAACAGCGTTGTTTTTTTTTTATATAAAAAAAAGTTTAAAGGTCGCTTATGAGCCCATTTAAGATGTCGTTCGGCAAGCGTCCTCGCTGAATTGCCCCTGATTTTCTAAGTTACGACCCTTTGAGTGGCAGTGAAGGCAGCAAACACTGTTCGTTATGTCATTTATCAACCATGGCTGCACCCGTCGCTCTTATTCAAGGTGCGAGCAGAGGACTGGGCTTTGGATTCTGCAAATATATACTTAAAAATAAATCACTCGCTACTGTTGTAGCAACATGTCGAAACCCGGACGGGGCTGCAGAATTGCGGAGCCTGGCCGGCCAACACCCGGGCCGACTGATGGTCCTCAGACTGGACGTGAACCACGAGGAGGACATCCGCGGAGCTGCAGAGAGGGTTAAGGAGAGTTTCGGTCGGCTGGATCTAGTCGTCAACTCCTCGGCAATGCTTCACCCTTCGGGGAAAGGAGAGACCAGCTTGAGGGATGTTTCTGCACAGGTAGACCTTTGTTTTAGTGTGAGAAGCCACATTTCCGTAAAAACTGGAGTAAAAGTTAGTTTAACTCACTGTCGTGAGTCAAACTGTTGCCTGTGTAGAAAATACATGCACAGAAGTAGTGCAAAAAACTTGGTGAGACACCATCATCATAGAAGCATTTGGATTTCCCCCTGTAATGGTACATACATTGGACTTTTTCTAACAATCTCTGGTGGTCCTTAAACTGTGCTGGTGATGTCTGTGTCCAGCAAGAGAGTCTGAAATCGGCAACACCAAATTCATTAAATCCTTAACCGAATTAAGTAACTTTTTTCCCATTTTTAGGGTATCATTTCCACCTTAACGACTAATACAGTGGGTCCCCTGGTCATGGCCAAGTATTTCTCCCCCCTCCTTCTTAAGGGCAGTGGTGGATTTGGTCAGCAGCCTGCAGAGAAAGCCAAACAGCACAGCGGGATCATTGTTAACATCACAGCGAAAGTGGGATCAATTGGAGACAATGGTATCTGGTGGTTCCAAAACACTTTGTGCATACATGTCATGTAGGCAGTGGCACTTCCAGACCAAATTTATCAGTGGGACCAGTGTTTTGTTTTGTTTTTTTTAATCGGAGCACAGAACAAAACAAAAAAGATTTTTTTTAAATATATTAAGCACATACTGTACAGGATTGACAGTCTCTGTTTCCGATCCCTCGTTCTTTGCATCCTCTCCAGCTAACTCCTCTTTCTCTCTTTCATCCCCTCATGATCTTCATCCTCTCTCTCTACACTGTTCTTTGTTAACAGGGGAAAAACCCACCAGCTAAACGGCTTCAGATTTAAAAGAGCAAGTGTGCAGCACCCTAAACAGTCCATGTTGAACACCTCAGCAATTTAATTCCAGTTACCGTGCCACTGCATATCACCATAAGAAATCAATTAATTATTATCTCTTGAGCACAGAGGCCAGAGCTAGTTCTACGGGGGCATTGGCCCCTGTCTAAAACCACCTATGCACGTAGGCAGCACCACTTTTGTCACTTAGCTGAAGGACAGAGCATAGTTACAAAGCAGATATTTCTCTTTTGTTATAATGTGCATGCATGCACAGTGGTAAAATGTTCATCTCTAACACTTTTTTCTCAGGTCTTGGAGGTTGGTACAGCTACAGAATGTCTAAAGCAGCTCTTAACATGGCCACTAGGAATTTGTCTATAGAGCTGGGCCGCAGTCGACCCAAGGTAAGTGTTTTCATACATGCTTCATTAATGTCTTGATGCATGCTCAATCATCAAGTTAAGGAAATCCCAAAGAGTTGAATCTATTCATGTGGTTGTTTGTTTGGTTGGCGTTTTCAGCGGGAGAAACATTTCGTCATTCGTCCAAGTGACTTCCACCCTTATGTGTCGGGAGTATCAGAACAGCTGAGACGCATTTTCTCTTAAGACTGGGTCTCTGTTGTTTTCAAACCCCAAGACACACTGTGCCAAAAATTGGTCCACCCAAAAGATATGTCACAAATAGAGTAATATAGTGTACGCTGTTAAGTGCCAGGAGGATTGCCAGGATTTATACATCGGGGAAACCAAACAACCTCTGGCTAAACGGATGGCACAGCACACAAGAGCTAACTTGTCAGGCCAGGACTCCGCAGTCTGTTCACACCTACAGGCCATGAGATACTGTTTCAATGATGAGGATGTACACATCCTGGACAGGGAGGAACTCTGGTTTGAGCAGGGAGTCAAGGATTTACACGAAAAGGGAAAAAACATCTCTGAGCTTAAGGTCTAAGATGCTTGTTACTGGTGTTTGTATCTTTCTTTTAGAGCATGGATTAGGGCATGCCCTTATACATAGATCCCATAGCCCATAATGATGTTTTTTTTTCCCCAGGTTGTTTGTGTGTCCCTACATCCAGGAACAGTGAACACAGACCTCTCCAGGCCTTATCACCGGAATGTGCCACAAGACAAGCTGTTCAGCGCTGAACACTCTGTGAACTGTCTAATGAGCATCGTTGACACACTAAATATAGAAAAGACTGGAAAAGCGTACAGCTGGGATGGAACCGAACTCCCGTGGTAGAATTTCTAAGAGATGAATTTCACCACTTCTGGTCTTAATGGTGAATTTCTGAGCAGTGTTGAGACAATGTGGAGATGAGCTGGACTTCATGCTATTGCTGTACAAGACATTTGTGCTCAAGTGACAGTTCAGATGGTCAATGAAAAAACTATTTTACTACCTCATAATTATCCAAAGTGCTTAAATCATCTGTAGCACATACAGCTTTTGTGTGAAGCCATTATTGACAATGTATCTGGTTTCAATATTTCATACAACTCTCATATAATTTAGTACTGCTCATTTTAATGGTAAAAATCATGTAATATCTCACTAATCTTGACGTCTTTCCCCAATTCAGTAATATCATCAGGTGGTTTGTATTAAAGGTGAATAAATTATCTGACTGTTTAAAATTTGTGGTTGCATTACACACACAAGCAGTCATTTTGGAAACAAGTGCTGTGGACATACAGTATGTTTTAAGAAAAAAAGATTGCATGGCTGGAGTTAATCTGCTAGTACATTCTACATGCAAATGTTGCACAAAGACTAACTCCTAAAGATAAAATAATAAAATCCTTTACATAGGATCTGTAAGATTTTTTTTTTCATCCACATCAAGTCTGAAACTGATTGTGATAAAAGTTAATCCCAAATAATCTGACTCTTTATGAGATATAAAGATGAAGCTATTTGGCAACTGGAAAAACCCCAGCAGTCATGGCTCAGTCTGTTGCAATCTTCCACCAGAGGTGTAGTCACAAAACAATTGGTGCTTTCACCACCTCATATATTCAGAAAAAGTTAATTTAATATCAAATCAAATCACTTTTATTGTCACATCACATGTGCAGGTACATTGGTACAGCACATGTGAGTGAAATTCTTGTGTGCGAGCTTCACAAGCAACAGAGTTGTGCAAAATACAATAATGTAAACAAGCAAAATACAAGAATGGCTACATCTGAAACTAATAAATATATGTACAATATATAATAGTATATGCATTTCTGGATGTGTATACTAAATATTTTTCTACGTGTGTGTGTGTGTACACATATTTTACAAATTAAATAGAGTAAACAATAAATAAAATAAATAATAAAAAAATATACAGAGTTGAGACATGTGCAAAACAGTGGCATTACTGTACAGTATGGAGTGCATAATGTTAAAGTTCCAGTAGTGAAGCTGAGGTGTCTATGAGTGTTCAGCAGTCTGATGGCCTGGTGGAAGAAGCTGTCTCTCAGTCTGCTGGTACGGGACCGGATGCTGCAGAACCTCCTTCCTGATGGAAGCAGTCTGAACAGTTTATGGCTGGGGTGACTGGAGTCCTTGATGATCCTCCCCGCTTTCCTCAGGCAGCGCTTCCTGTAGATGTCTTGGAGGGAGGGAAGCTCACCTCCAATTATCCGTTCAGAGCACCGCACTACTCGCTGGAGAGCTTTGCAGTTGTAGGCGGTGCTGTTGCCATACCAGGTGGTGATGCATCCAGTGAGGATGCTCTCAATGGCACAGTGATAGAAGGTCCTGAGGATGCGGGGGCTCATGCCGAATCTTTTCAGTCTCCTGAGAAAGAAGAGGCGCTGCTGCGCCTTCTTCACTGTTTTGTTTGTGTGTACTGACCACGTAAGATCCTCAGCCAGATGTACACCAAGGAACCGGAAGCTGCTCACTCTCTCCACAGCAGCGCCGCTGATGGTGATGGGGGTGTGTACTTCTCTGCACCTCCGGAAGTCCACTATCAACTCCTTTGTCTTTGCGACGTTGAGGGTGAGATGGTTGTCTTGACACCAGTGGGTCAGGGCGCTGACCTCCTCCCTGTAAGCCGTCTCATCACATGTTGGTGATAAGACCCACCACTGTAGTGTCGTCCGCAAACTTCACAATGATGTTGGAGTTGTTAGTGGCTGTGCAGTCGTAGGTGTAGAGTGAGTACAGGAGAGGGCTCAGTACACACCCCTGTGGAGCACCAGTGTTCAGTGTGATGGGGGATGAGGTGATGCTGCCCAGTCTGACCACTTGGCGTCTGTCAGACAGGAAGCTAAGGATCCAGCTGCAGAGGGAGCTGCTCAGTCCTAGATCCTGCAGTTTCCTGTCCAGCTTCGAGGGAACGATGGTATTGAATGCTGAGCTGTAATCTACAAACAGCATTCTCACATACGTGTCTCTCTTCTCCAGGTGTGACAGGGCAGTGTGTAGTGTCAGGGCTATGGCATCATCAGTGGAATATGTAATTATATGTAATGGATTGCATTTATATAGCGCTTTTCTAGGCACCCAAAGCGCTTTACAATTCCACTATTCATTCACTCTCACAAACTGGTGGAGTTGTAGCCACAGCTGCCCTGGGGCAGACTGACAGAACATTCCGGTTACAGATGAGCTTCCCAATCCCCTGAGCCACGGTCGCCCCGTAATCATAAGAAGTAATCATAAGAAAATGAATACAACTCCAATAATGTAAATAGATTACTGCATTTGTAGGCTTTTGGTTTTGTAAGTTGCTTTTTAAAACAAGATTTACACTTTAAATAAAAGATTTCACTACATATAAGATAATATTCATAGTTACACGGTTACTTCTATGACTAGGTGGGTCGGTTTTGCTGTCAATTATAAAGCATGTGTCTTTTTGTTTAATTGTTGTTGGTCAATAATTGTTAGTCAACCTATGTTTCACAAGTAGTAATAAAGTCAACCACACCTCATCACTGTGTTTTTGCACGGAGGATGGTTTTTATTTAGAGCATGTAAAATTACATTAAGGATCAGCTCGGAGCCTCTTCTTGTTTATAGTGGTGATGGACAGGTTGACAGATGAGGTCAGGCTGGCGTCTCCATGAACTGTAATGTTTGTAGACAATGTCAGAGTAGGGAGCAGGTGAACAGGAAGATGAGAGATGAGATAGCCTTTATTTGTCAGTTGCAGGTCTTTTGCCCACAACCGAGATGACAGACCTTGCCGACCGTACATACAATACACAAACATCACATTGGGGAGACAGGTCAGGCTTACGTAGCAAGGGGGGAAAAAAACATCGAAATGTGTAACACAAAAGGATAATACAGGAATGCACAGATATCAACACACCATAACACAATAAAACACAGAAAAGTAACATGGGAGAATATTCCAGTGTGTACAGCTGATCTGGGACCGCTGCAATCTTCGATTGCGCCTCCAGTTGATCTGATGTCCACATCTGTCCGCTTCTTGTTCTTCGATAAGCCAGGTCCAAGCCAGCTCCAATTAGCCCAAACTCTGTTATCGTGGTTCCAAATTGGTAGATGTCGTTCAATGTCCTCCATCGAGAGTGTCGCCAGACACACGACGCAACCGACCATCAAGTATCCGGCAGCAAACGTCTCCGCAGGACAATCGGGCTCTCCCAAGCCCAGCAGGGTGTCAATTCCATTACAGGACCAGTTGATCAAATCCATAATTCTTTAGGTTTTAAAGAACAAGACTGAGAAACTCTTTGAGGGTAAGAGTTAGACGAGACTAGACAAACCCAGAAGCACCAGCAGGGAAGATGAGGGAGGGAGAGGGGGAAAGATGCGTCCGCCTCCACCGAGAGCCAAAGAAGAGCTAAAGAACAGGAACCTGGAGAGGTGAAGGTATGCTCTGCAGAGAAGATGAATGAAAACCAGAACACAAAACAGATGTGTGAATGAGAGAGACAGGTGTAACAATGAAGGTGGATGAGTTTACAAGATGGCAGTGAAACTTGCTGCATGGTTTTGTAGACAGCGGCACTGAAAAAAAGACAGGTGGCAGAATTGAAGATGTTGAGGTTTTCACTGGGTTTGACCCAATGACTGTATAAAAGATCTTTTATACAGTCATTGGCAGAGTGGACACGATTAGAAAGGAACATATCAGAGGGACAGCTCGGGTTGAGTGGTTTGGAGACAAAGTTGGAAAGACAAGGCTGAGATGGTTTGGACATGTGCAGAGGAGGGTTGTGGCACCTTTGCACAAGCCAAAACTACTTTGAGAAATAAAATAACTATTTAAAAAATTAATCACATTTTAATCCTGTTAACACAGATTTGTGTTTGCTGTAGAGGAATTTAAGTAGGGGCCCAAAACATTTCTGTAAAGCTGCAACTTTCCAGTTTCTACATAAACCTGGCACATTTCTTCAGATTTAGAACTTTTGCTTAAGTGCCGATTTAAAATATTTTCTTTGCTAAATGAATCCTGTTTTATAATAAGATTATAGGCAGTTAAATTACTATATGTGTTAAGCTAGTGTGATTTCAACAGAAATTTTGAAACAACACTGAATCTTTGACAAAGGCTACATTCAGACAGCATATATTTTTGTTTAATTAACTTTGTGGGTAAGTAAGTAAGTAAAACTTTATTTATATAGCACCTTTCAAGATAAAAATCACAAAGTGCTTCACAGAAGCTACAACCTAAAAATAAAAATCAACTAAAAGCAAGTTTAGAGGTCCACCACAGTCAGAGGAAAAAACCCAGATTTATAAACTGTATAACAGGGAGCATGACGCCAACAGGAACAGTTTTAATATTTTAAATAGACTGCCTTAGTAGATAAAACTGATTGTTTCCCTTTTCTGTGAACATTTACTGTGAGGGAAAAAATCTGATAAACCACATTCAGGTCAGTATGTTATGGACACATGGACATAAGAAGAGTAGAGAAGAGCCTTAAGGCATAGTGAGCTTCAACTAATTGGCTGGGTAATGACTGAACTCAACCCTGTTAAGAGATTTTTATATAAGGTTGACCGGATTCCTACCAAGTCTTGTTTACCCGGATGTCTTTTAAACCTATACTACAACAATATGATGCAGCCAGTAAAATAATATACCTAACAGTTACTGCATGGTATATGGTGTTTTTTTGTTTGTTTCCTTTTGTTTTTGGTCCATATCAGTCCATGTTACATTATGTCACTTGTAGTTTCAACAGTGGGTTTGCTCATTTTATTTTTGCTTTTGTTGTTTACAAATGTGTAATTTTACGTTAGTTTGTATTTTTGGCGTTAGTTTTCTTCTTTTTGGTTATTATAATTTGTTTCGTTTTAATTAATCATTGTAAGCTCAGTATAACCAAAGCACCATTTAACCAGAAGATGGCAGCAGTACAAGACTCCATCAATTTGGGGGGGGGTAAGATAGTTTGGCTTTATCTTAAACTAGCTGGCCACATAATGGGAATTTTGAGATATGCTTGTTTATTGTGGCATGGTGGTCTCAATTATAGTGTAACTATAGTATTTCAAAGAGTGAAAGAGGGACTGCTATAACTTGTATCAATATATACACGTGACTGAGACTGTTCTCTGTGTATGGCTTCTAAAATTATGGGGAGTCCAATTGTAGCATATTTTATTTATGTATTTTAAACCTTTCATTGTATTTATCACGTAATGATATCAGTTTGTGGTGATGTGTCTGTAATGGGATATTTTATGCATTTCTTTTAAGACCTTTACAAACCGTCTTTCTGGTTTGCCGTCCGTATTAGTTGCTCTAGTCTGTAGTTTCTTTTTTCAAGCTGATATTGCTGTTTGACCTTTGTATCTTATCTGAACCGTGCTCATTATATAATGTTCTGTCCATTGTTTTCTCTTTGCCCCAATGTCTTACGTAAATGATTTTTTTCTGGCTATTTATTATAGATTATTTTTTTAATAAAGTTTGTAGGAAATGGATTATAAGAGGGGCATAAGAATAAAAAATATCAGATACTGATTTTAAATTATTCTGCAGCAAAAAATAAACAAACAAATAAACAAACAAAAAACACTGCTCAAAAGACAGATTTTTCAGTTGGATGTGCGTTTTTTTGCATGCAACTTCAGGGTCACTACGGTTCATTTTCATGACTGATACATTGACTGGCAGCTTTGTGCGCGCATCACGCGTGGAGAGGACTACGGGGAATGAGGATGACGGCCAACGGCGACGCTTATAAATAAAGCGCCCACCGCTGCACGGAGTGGTACTGTAGACTTTAGTGAAGAGTAAGCCAGCAGGGAGCGGCCGCAGTTCATTGTTGCATCGAAGGCGACGGGGAATGAGTCCATTCTTGCATGTCTCTGTGTTAAAGCGAAGAATTGCGGTGCATCTCCTGCAAAAAGCAGAGGAAACCGGTTAGAGGAGGTGAACAGGTTCAGGCCTTGACTGGAGGAGCTGATGTGACGTAGCAGTCCACCGACACACACGCGCGCGCCGGCTGCTGCTGCCTGCCAGGATCTCAGTTTAGGGAAATGACCGCGAGTGACCTCAAGGGAAACACTGTATTTTAGCGGCTGTTCGCAGTTTTGTTTTTACGGACATTATAGTAAAATATACGACACAATTTAGCCACATACTTTAGATTAAAATACGTTATATTTAGACGCTAGCTGGTCGCTAGACTGCCTCATTACGTTGGAAGACGGGCTAGTATTAGCTGGCTAAGCTAAAGTAGCCGGGATAGACACTGCTAGCGGCTGGGGCTCCTACGTTTTGTTTCCCTCACAGATGCTAAGCTACGTTCGGCTAGGGTAGCTGCTGCCATGGATAAAGCCAAGTCAATGGTGGATAAGAAAGGAGCTTCGGGACCCTTTCATGTTAACAATGGGCAGAGCCAGAAGGTTTTTCACAGTCATGTCATGGTGGCCACTAACGGCAGCTGTTGCAGCAGCAGCAGCAGCAATGCATTCGGCTCAAGCACCGTACCCAGCGGCAGCGGCACTTTTGAAAACATGCATCATCTGCACCGCGGGGATGATGCAGAGTGCAACGGGTCCCCGGCCAAGAGGTGCAGACTACGGAGGAGGACCGAGTCGGTGAGAAAACACAGACCCCGTAAGTTGATTTTTTTTTTTTCGTTCTGACATGATTTTTCTGTATCTGCTGTCATTTGTGCCAAACATGAGCCGGGTAAATGCAATACCAACCGGCCGGTGTTTGCACAATCGTGCAGTGTTGCAATGACAGGAATGGAAACGCTGTCACTCAGCGCGAGTTCTGCCTCATTGTTAACGATTAATAATTTATTATAACTGTGTTATCTGCTTCAGATCATACTGGTGTCCGATCAGAATGCGTTTCGAATTGTTCTGTCCAATCTTCAAGCCCTGCCGTCGCCAGGGAGACCCCCTTTTGTTTTTAATGAACCCTCAGGTTGCATTTGGAACGCTGTGATTGGTCGGTTTCTGGTGGTGAAAAAGCTCCTGATAAGTGGGCCTGGTTTACCGCAGCCAATAAGCACTGGACTCTTGTCTACAAGAGTCAGGGCGAATGAGCAGCAGTCCCGCCCCATTATTTACCGAGTATGTTCTGATGATGGGAGTAGGTTCATCCGGGTAAAGTTGGAAGTTTTAACAGAGAATGTGTGAAAGTCTCGTTTTATTCAACGAGCTAAGTATTTTCTGATCTCCGGGACTGAAGACTTTCTGCGGAGATACAGTTTTTAACGTTTTTCAGTTGTTATTATTATTTTGTTCACACCGTGAGACGATATATTACACCATTATGAAACTCATAAATGAGAAGAAGCCTGGTAAGTTTTAGTTTAATTTTATTTGTTGGTACTGAGGATATCTAGGCATTACAATATATGTAGAATTACTCTTAATTACATGGACATAGCAGTCAGTAATGCTGTCGTGCACAGCTGATTCCCAGCCATACTTAAGCATTCAGTGAAAGCCACTGGGTTTGTTATGGCTGAGTGTGGCTGTCATGGTAAATCTCGTTACTTCTCTGTGGAGATGCTTGCGGAGTGACCACATGGACTTTTGAATGCCTTTGTTTATAAGTAAGCATGACAGCATTGCGTGAGTCTGTTAGAGACTATTTGGGAGAGACAAAGGCTGATGACATAATTCTTGGTTTTCAGTGGATTTTTTGTCACTTTAACCTGTTACAAGCTTGTTCTATATTAATCTCCTCCCTTATGAGATCTCAAATACACTATATGTACACATATTTTTAATAAGTGCTTGGTTTTGTTTGCTTACTAAGAAAACTGTTACATGTTGTTCTAATGCATTGCAATCTTTTTAAAAAGTGATGTGAGTATTGAAATATATTTAATTATGCTCTGATATTTAAAGTTCTTTCATTGTTACTTTGTCACAATATTTTTATAGTACTGCTACACTTTACTCACTGATGGACAGAAATCAACAAAAAGTTTTTATTATTATAGAATGACATTGCAATCTGTTTGAACGACTTATCAGAGAATAAATATTATCAGTTGTTATTCTGTAGGATGAAAAATCAAGTTCAAAAAGATAAGACAGAATAACTTCTTTTGGTTAGATGTACCCCTGCAGATGTATAGTATGTATTGAGGTTTGTATCTGTGAGTGATATGAGAAAAAATAATCAGAAATTCTGAAAATGACCATGATAAAATGTTACTGTAGAATAATATAACATACTTTTTATATTTCACATCTTGATCTGGCTTTCTGTGATAACTGGTGCATAAGTCATAAGAGAAGTGGTGCCACTGGAAAGAAGAACCTACACCAGAATTAGCCCGGATTACAACATTAAGGACTATTTCATCTGTAAACTTTGAAATGTCCGGTCAGAGCTGCTCTGCTTAATGGTTGAGTTATCCTTGGATGCAGGCCAGCCATTCTGTCAAACGGATAACTTTCTAAGCTTTTCTTCAGTGAGGGCTGAACCTGGAATGTGTTTCCCTCGGGGGTGTGATTTTTGAAGTGGTTTAAGGTTGGGGTTACTTTTGGGTAACACTGCCTGTAGTACCCTTTATTTGCACCAAAAGCAACTTGGCAGCAGTTAGCACATGCAGTTAACAACAAAGCAGAAACTTGTCTTCACAGTTTTATATTAGTTAATGTTTCAGTTTGACCTTTTAGTTTTAAACCAGCACATACGATTTTATCCTGTTTTTTCAAACAGGCATAAAGAGGTATTTGTATAAGTTATATAAGTTGAAGACAATGTTTCAATACAGTACAAATATACAGTAATTACATCCATTACTGAAGTGCACTGTTGCTCTCACCCCAACCAGGTGTGACAGATAGTTGTCCCTCCCTGAGCCCAGTTCTACTGGAGAATTCTTTCTATTAAAAGTGAGGTTTTCCTTCCCACTGTCACCAAGTGCTTACTCAGAAGGCCATCTGATTGTTGGGGGTTTCCTCTGTATTATTGTAGGGTTTACACTGTAAAGCACCTTGAGGTGACTTTTATTGTGAATTGGCAATTCAATAAAATTGAATTTAATATGTTTTAAGCTTAGTTAAATTAGTGTGAGGATCTCATACCAAAGTTTTCCTGAAACTGTTTTGGCATTTGTGTGTATGTCCCTTAACTCATTCACTGCCATTGATGTCTATAGCCGTCAATTGCAGTGAATGAGTCAATGGGTTTAACTCATTCACTGCCAATGGCTGGCAGTGAATGAGTTAATTAAGGGTGTACTAATTGTCATTTTTATTTTATTTTTGCCACTTTAGTAACAGAAAACATATATATCTTATATATAGAAGTGTCTCAAAAGCATTCTCACAAGTGAAACCCTTGATAGTCTTTGGATATATTCAGGTTGTGACTTTTTCATTTAATGTCAGAAACAAACAGACAGACAGAAAAAGTAACAGTGTCATACCCAGTTTCAATCTCATTTGAGTCAGCCTGTTCAACCTGAGCATAATTTAGTAACATAGTTGCAGTGATAAAGAGATACAGGTTCATCCAGGTATGCCACAGGTTCAGTCAGTGTTCTACTATTGCCTTATTTAATGGATTGTGACTAAGACATGATGACGAGTTTCAGTAAACGTTTAGGAAATTTGGGAAGGTGTTTCAGAGATAATGTAAATTCAGATGATGGGAAGTGCTTGACCTATGAAACCCAAAAACCAACCAAAACTTCTTTTCCAGACTGAAACTTCTCCTCCACGCTGAAACTATGTGGAGTCCTACAAGTCTTCTGATTTCCATTTCTAAAGAGTAGAAAAGTGCTATTTGCCTATATATGTCCCCATTGTCCCAGCGCACTTGAAGGGGTTTTCACCCAATGAAAACTTGCTCCCATGCAGTCCCCCAAAATCCCAACTGCAAATTGCTGGTTTTTGATGATGTTGTGCAGTGGTTGAAAGCGGATTGGTTGACAAGTGTTCCAGAATAGAGAATGGTGTTTGACAGGAATGGGACAAGTGAGGGAAAAAAAGAGATATAATATAAAAAACATTAGGTATGAAAATTACACACAGTGGCTGCACTTGGCCTCACTTCAGCTCTTTTATGCTATTACTTTACTCTTCTCTTTGGCTGGCTGACACCAGCAACAGCTCAAGGAAGAGTAGCCCACAGACCGGTTGTACCACATAATTTGTACACTGCCTCCATCAACAACATACAGTTAGAAAGTGGTCTGCAGCTGGTTTAAAATAGAAATAAGTTGTTTCCAGGGTGTGTGTGTGTGTGTGTATTTTATATTTGTGGTATACAAAATAAATTGCACAAAGAATAGTCTGCAATGAAAAACGTAATTTCCTGTGATATCACAAATTGATACTTACAGTACAGAATCTGGAACAAGGGAATACTTGAGATTTAAATCCAGGATTTTTCTCTTATTTAAAAAAATTTGGTGGTCAACCATGAGATTTTTAACATACATTTTTGTTGAGAACATAACAAAAAAATACTCAGGCTTTTGTTTATTGAGGTAAGACAGACTCAAGGCCAGCCTGCCCATGAGGAAACATGAAACCAGACGGACCAGACTATGTGGTAACAGCAGATGATGCTTCAAATAATGACAAAAATTTCTCAGTAATAAATTGATTGTGTTGTTGTATTGGATATAAAAATACACATCTAAGTAAAGTTCAAGTGTGAGAAATGATGGATGTAATTAAGTGTTAGCAGTAACAGTGAAGGTGATGGCGGTACTTCTCTAATTGTAACTATAATAATATGTAGGTAATAGGTAATAGTAAAAGTAAAGTGGATGCAAAAAGAGATGAAGATAATGGTGAAACTCTTAATCTTAAGACTTTAGAATATCCAGAACAAAACATCCTTATTATCGTCGTACGGCTGTTTACATCATCCCAGAATATAAAAAAGGCAACCTCTGGTTAGCATTGTAACGTGTTAAAATCTTTTAAATGAAAAAAGATGTAATCTGTGACCTGAAGTAATGCCCTGTCATTACTAACAGTAAATATATTGTCTAGGGTATGCAATAGTGTACCTTTTTAGTCTCTCTCACTCATTTTTGTCATGCAGGGCAAAAGCAATACTTTTGTGTCATTCCCTCTTCTTTTTACATAATTTGCTTCCACACACATACAAACACCAAACCCTTCTTTGAAACCTGAGCTTAAAGGTGAAGCAATGAGAAATGTTATATGTATGTGTCAATGGAAAATTGTATTTAGGGTGAGGGGGAGACTACCCTTTCCTGACCAAGGATGTACCTTTTGTGCTTTTATGACCCTTTGATCAGCAGGACACACACACACACACACACACACACACACACACACACACACACACACACACACACACACACACACACACACACACACCACTCACTCACACACACACACACCACTGAAGTATAAATAAAGACCAGGGCAAAGCTCAGCGCGAGTCTCTCAGTCTGGAGGCTGCCCTTGCTAGCAAGAAGTTCTGTGTGTTTCTCTTCTCTGAGTCTTTACTGAAGAAGTGTTTTAGAATATTTTCCCTAACCTTATTTTAGTGTGTGTGTATGTGAAATCTGTGTATGAAATCTGTGTATGTCATGGGGACATGCAGTGCAATATCGGTGTTTGTTAGGCCAAGGACCTTTTACCTACATCTACACA